CTGAGGAATCCAATACTTGGACGAAACACCTGCCCATTACTTCCAAGTTCTCAGTGATTCCCCAGCTGATGTTAGTTTGTGAAAAAGAGTTTTGACTAACTGAAGGTTGAAATTTTAATGTCTTGATCAATTAAGATAAGAAAATATTATCCTATAGTGCATGGTGTAATTTGATATTTCAAAAAAGGGTGATGGATTACCTTAGTGACTTAATATATTGTTCACTAACAGATTTTTCTTATGGAGATCTCTTACTTTTCGTTTAGATTTACAGCCATTGATTTCATCACAGGAGAACACGTAGGCGATATAGTCCTCCTGGATGAAGATACTGACAAGAGGTAGAGGCTTCTGAACCCGTCGACTGGCAGTTCGGAATGTGTTTCTCACCGCTCAAATGTAAACTGTTACTTCAGGAGTAGTCTGCGTGGGTATACTGTTCAACAGTAGGAAGCGAATTAGCTGAGCGCGTTGACCACTTCAATCACATGGGTGCGTTAGTGACCAACGAAATTTCTTCCCGGATGGGAAAGACTAATATGACCTTCATCAAATAACATCTTGGATGATGTCGCCATGATATTACATTACCCTTTAAGAATTGTATGCAGTAAACTGTGTGTTCTTCTATACGGCTATGAAAGATGATCATTAGAAGTGAAGGAAACGAAAAGGCTTCAGATCTTTGACCACTGTTGCCTACGTATCATACCATGTCGTATGGTAGCATCACGTCGTTAACGAGGAAGTCATACACAGAGTTTAAGGCAGAAGCAGTGCGTTCGTTGATGAGAGTGTATATCTTCATACACTCCGAACGCTAGGATAGACGTTATGAAAGCTCAGTAGGGCTCACACTGCAGAAAGACGATAGGCAACAAAAATAAAACGTGGTATCACTCCATGAATTTCTGAGCCTAATAGGAAAAGATAACCATCCCGTACGGGATGGTTACATGGTAGCTGAAATAATTCATTGTAGCCTATAGATAATATGTCTGCGAATTGATTTCATTACCACTGATGCTGCTTACGCATATTATCCTCATTCTAATTATTATATCGTGTTCCATTTTTTTTTTACCTTACCTCATCTCCCTATGACTTTTGACAAGTTAAGATTGTACTGTCTTTCTATTTTTCCGTCTTTCATCATGCCTACGTATATTCTGATATCCTGATACAAAACGCGACAGATAATCCTTTAGGTCCTATACTCTCTATATTCTGTTCACTTACACATAAAGTGGCGAAATGGTTAACAAAACTTTAATTCCTATTCGAAATAAATTATATAGGTTTTCTTTAAAAGATACTTTTGAACTTGTTCATTATAACAGCGATACTAATATTAAAGATAAGAGATTGCATTCATTTGATGTCAACTCCTTATTTACTAATGTACCCCTAAACAAAACCATTAACATTCTTTGTGATCAAATATCTTCTAGTAATCCTTCTTTCCCTATCCCGTCAACGTGTTTCAGAGAGCTGTTATTATTGTGTACTGATAAAGTTCATTTCACATTTGAAGGTGGATATTTTCGACAAATAGATGGTGTGGCTATGGGAAGTTCCTTAGGATCACTGCTAACTGATATTTACATGATAAGCATGAAGATGTGACATGTTTGTTAGAAAGACTTAACAACGTACAAAACAACATAAGCCTAACATGTGAAGAAGAGAAAGAAAACCGTCTGCCATTCTTGGATATACTCCTATGTCTTAGAAATGATGGTTCAATAAAACGGTCGACCTACAGGAAACTTACTTGGACAGGTCAGTATTTAAGTTTCTATAGCTTTTGTCCGACCCAATACAAACGAGGTTTGGTACCTCGCCTATTTAAAGGGATCCAGTGGAAGACTCAATGGATGATGATATCAAAATACTAACGGGAACATTAGTAGAAAATGGATATCCATTGAAGTTCATAAACCGCTGCAAAAATCAGCAAGGATTTAAACCTAATGTGTTTCGAAGAAATGCGTTTACATCACGTTACCATACAAAGGAGAATCTAATAGCATAATATTAAGACGAAGGTTAAGGTCTACTGCTAAAAAAAGGTACTATGCAGCTAAGCTTATCATAGTTGAGAAAACCATACACCTGCTGCAACCTAGACCTCAACGTTGTATAAACGATTGCATCACATCCCACTGCGTTTATAAATTTACATGTATGTGTGGACAAACATATATAGGGAGGACGAATCGTGATATGCACTTGAGGGTAGGGGAACATGTTCCAAAGTGGCTACGAAAGCAGCTGGATTCACAAACATTGATAAGCGCAGATGGCAGACAACCATCATCCGCATCCATTGCAAAACATAACATTGATAAGAGTCACAGGATTGATATCAAGACAGCCTTTACAATTTTGTACCGAAACTGTCAGGGGTGTATACTTAAGTTTGTTGAGGCGCTAGCCATAAATAAATTTAACCCCGCATTGTGTGTGCTAAAACAGTTTGTCCTTACTCCAAGCCTACCTTGGTAATGCTTATTTTATCAAATTACCAAGATTGTCTTCAAATCTTATCTTTTATTCCTCTCATTATCTTTCTTATTATTGAATTCCTTTATGTCATATGTATCCTTCCCCCACTTCCAGTTTTCATGTATAATACTGCCTGAACAATTAGATGGTGTGATCAGATTGTTCGAAATGTATAGCGCTAATATATCACACATTTTTCAGATAATCTATGTCTTCTAATTACCCTATCTAAAATGAAAGCATTTTATCTGAGCTTTAACTACTGTTGTCGACTGTAGAGATGAATCAGGTGTGAAGATATTCAAAAAAAGGCATTTACTCATGTCAATGGGATACAAGAAGAAAATGATTAGAAGGTGATTCAAATACTTTAAAGTGTTGAATACATGTCCTTTGTCACTGGTTACAGTAAGTAATGGATAAAGTCATACAGTGGTTTAACTCAATCCTACAAAGTCTAATTCATAAATTTCTATCAGTAAGTTAGGTGGATAACCAGTAAAACATCGTAAAAATCATAAGTGATGCTAACCACTGAGAGAGTTAATCATTGCTAGCTTAACAAATAATCAGTCAGATGTCGATGTTTTCAAAAACACCAACCATTTAGAAGTGAACTTATCTATTCTTGATCATACAGTCAAGATGAATACCAATGATGACTGAAACCATCACCGAAAACGATAGGCCTCTCATAACGACTCACTACAGGTGGCTAGAGCATTGGGTAGAATACTTTGAAGCACAATTTAACTGGACCCTAGCAACACTTCACTTGCCCGACACTAAGTCTAAACCTGAATGAGAAGTAAACATCGATCCTTCAACTCTCCTTGAAGTTCAGAAGGCTGTGTCAAAGCTGAAATGACTCAAAGCACTAGAACTTAACAGTTTGGCACCCAAAGTTGTTAAGGATAGAGGTAGAAAACTGCTGTTTAAAATGGCAAAGGTACTAGATAGTGTATAGGAATCAAAGATAGTTCCATCACTAATCATCCCAGTCTACAAAGAGAGAGAGAGGTCTTCTTGGGACAACCATAAGGGAATTATTTACCTTAATATTGTATCCAGGACCCTGAAAACCATAGTTATCAGATGCCTAATTGAAGCTGAAGGAAACTAGGCATATTTCAGATCCGGATGATGACACATTGATCATATATCTACCCTTCTACAGGTTCTGGAAGACAGACATACTCTCTGGTAGTTGACACTTGCCATATTTCTCTACCAGAAGTCGGTATTTGATTCTGTCGACCTTGAGGCGGTGTGGTATCGTCTGACTGTGAAAGGAGTACCAACCAAGTATGTAACGCTAGTCAAAGCTTCCTACTCGAACTCATGCAGACATGTCAGGGCCTATGGCGTGTTGTCACGTGAAGTGAAGACAGCTATTGGCGTCCACCGGAAAGCTCATTGACGCCTGTGAAGTCAAGTGAAGACAGGAGTAAGACAAGGTTGCTTACTGTCTATCACTGATCATCTTTCTGGTTATGGTCGACTGGACTCGACTGGATCATGCAACAAACTGTGAGCAGCGAGAAGATGAGCATACGCCAGCTGGGCCGATGAAAAGACCACACAAGAAGATTTGGATTTCCGCGATGGTGATTTATGTCTTGTTGGACAAACCCGAAGATCTACAGGTGAAAACTAAGAAGTTGACAGAAGAGGCTAGTTGGCGAAGACGCAACTTCAGATGAACATAGAGAAGATAGAGGTGATAAAGATGCTCAACGCACAACAACAACAAGCACCAATCACCATAAATGGGGGAAATGAAAAAAGAGTTGTCTCTTTCACCTACCTACCTAGGTAGTATCGTCTCAACTACAGGCGCCACAGGCACAAATCAGGATGTCAAAGCCACGATCGGAAAGACAGCAAGACAGGCCTTCCTTCATTAATTTAAAATAATCAGTGTGAAGACCCACTCCACTCAGCATAAAGCGTGAACAATATCCGGATTTTCAACATTAATATCAGTCAAGTCAGTGCTTGTATGTGATGGTTGAGAGAGTTGGCTGCGCGTCACGATACTCATGGGCATGAGTCCAATATTACATTGGTAAATTGATATGGGGACAGACAGAAATGACTGGTCTAGAGAGGAACCAATCAAAATGTAGTTTATGTGATCACGTGTACAATTAGATAGACAGACAGACGGTGGATCAACCAATCAGTAAGATAAAAATAATTTGTTTGAAATAAACAGCGAATTATCTATTTATTAGCTGTACTTTCCTTTGCTTTTAGTCTTCGGTCTTTTCGACCTCAATACATGTCTCTACACGTCTATTGTATCGTCTCCATCAATTAGTCGGGTCGAAAATCAACTAGGAGTTTGTTGAATATTGGTGGTTGACACTTGATATCTCTGCATCGTCAGTAACCATAATATATAGCAGTTTCCAGACCATAATATAAACTGAATTATGTACTAGTACACATTTAAACACTAAACAGAAATAGTTTCAAATCTCACTTACTTGATGTGTGTTTTTTCTAAAATTGAAATACTGTAAGGACTTTTAATACTCTCAATGTCTAAAATGAAATATTTACAGAAAGCAGTTAAAATTAACTTTATAAGTGGCATTAAAATTCAAAATTATTTTTTTAATAACTTATCAAATATTGAATACTAATTTGTTTTAATTTACTGTATCTAGCTTGGCGACAAAGTTAAGTTGTGTTTCTCATCTTCAATCTTTTGAAAATATTTTTATGTATATACTGTGAGGAGTGAGAAGATGAGCTGGACCGATGAAAAGACCGTAGAAAGAAGAAGAATTGGATTTCACCAATGATGATTTATGTCTGATGTCTTGTCGCACAAACTTGAAGATGTACAGACAAAAACCAACAAGTTGGTAGAAGAGGCAAGGCAGCGAAGCAAGACGGGACTTCAGATGAATGTAGAGAAGACAGAGGTGACGAAGATATCCAGCACACAACAACAAGCACCAATCACCAGCAACGGGAAAAATGTAAAGGAAGTTGTCTCTTGAAATAATGGAGAATATTTGTAGCTCAGGTAGATGGTCTTGGTTGTATTGTGTTCTCTGAGCTGGGTTGTTTAGTCGTGAAGCTTCAGTATGAAGTTAGTGATGATGATGTCGTCCAGAAAGACGATGAAAGCTTCACGATTAAACAACCCAGCTCAGAGAACACACTACAAAGAAGTTGTCTCTCTCACCTACCTACCTAGGCTGTATCGTCTCAACTACAGGCGGCACAGGCACAGATGAAGATATCAAAGCCAGGATTGAAAAGACACAAAGATAAACCTTCATCAGTCTGAAATCAGTATGGAGGTCTGCTGCACTCAGTATAAGGAACGACATCCGAATTTTCAACACGAATGTCAATTCAATGCTTCTATGTGATGGTTGAGAGACTTGGTGGCGCGTCATGAAAAGCATTTCGGACAAACTGCAAACATACATCATCAACAGCTGCCGTCTACGCTTACTCGATACTGAAGATCAAATGGCCAGAATAATAATAGGAATAAGCAATAAGGAATTCTAGTTTGGCAATGAACCAACCAATAACCTATCAGCCAACAAATATGCAGTGGAAGAAAGTGGAGATGGATTGAATTGAACATACGCTAAGAAGACCGTTTAGGGATTTAATATTCATGGTTAATTGACTACTTTTTATTCGCTTCGAATATTTAGTTAGAGTAAGCTAGTCAAGAAATGGGTTCCATGTTAAATTAATCAGGTTATAATAAATCTGTGAAAATATGAACTATACCATCAGAACAACCTGACAGTGAGTGGAATGTTAACAGATTATTAATAGAAAATAGGCAACTTAGATAGACATAATCGGTCTTATTTTGTTACTTTATTTTAAAAATTATTTTGTCTAAGATCTATTTAACACTGTTATTTTAAAGTTCAACTGAAGGATTTTCTGTTGACTATTCATAGAGTTTTATCCAAACTATGATTGAGAAATAACTGTATACTAAGTGAAATCAGTTGTAACTTCCTATTGATTTATTTGTAGTTCTCCATTGTTACACTGGATCAAATTGTTCAACCTGTGTTAACACATAGGCTCCTATACGGATACCTCAATATTACCTGAATATTATATTGCTGTCGTTTACTTGGTTATGGCTAGTAGAGGACTCCAAGATGCGCGTTTCATCCCATTTAAGACTCGTCAGCTGGGAGTACCTGCACCCCAGTATGGAGTGATATTATTCCCAATGACACTCAAACCTCATAACCATCTCTTCAAACACCAAGGCGTTACTCACTAGGCCATTGAGGCACGATATTCACCTCTTGTAAATGAAGTATTAGTTATAACTATTTGTTCATATACTTGTTGTCATACTTGATCGAGGTTCAATTCTCAGTGAGAACAACATCACTCACTGGGTTGCAGGTACATCCAGCTGATGAGTCCCAAATAGGACGAAACGCGCATCCTGGATTTCTCTAATAGCCACAATCAATTAAATCACCATAATGAAATCAACTGGTTATTTCATCTTTATGAATTCTGCTACGTTGTGGTCAGGTAATTTATTTTGCATACATGTATGATTTAGATTACAGTGAATACAAGGATAGAAAGTTATTGGTTTTTTATTGGTTTTTCAGTGAGAAGGTGAAGAAAAACTGATAGTTGATGGATTCACAATACTAGCTTTTCTTATGTTCAGTTCATAGGCGTAGATACAGTGTAGATAAGTGGGACAGTATTCTGACAGTGACATGGGATGCGGCAGTTGCAATTGTCAGTTCAGACATATGATATCAAACCATACCAGCTTACTTGTCATGATAAACACAAAATAAATATTATAGCTTAGAGCCCAATAGTTGCATTCATTACAGAATGACATTTGTTTGGGAACCATTGTAAATCTGGGAGTACTTGATAACTGTTTTATCCTAGCATGCAACTCCTTAGGAGTATGCAAATACGACATAACAATTTCCTACTTCTGTCATTGTGTGAACTTGGATCCAATAGGTGAATGGATAACGTGTTCATCGTGAGACTTGTGAGTCATGAGTTCAGTCGCTGACTGTGTCTTGGGTGCGTGCTGCTTAAGAGGCCCATACCAGGAAGAAAATAACCGTCTAATGTTGATATGCTTTTATTGGTTCTCCAAATAATATCAGTTAGTGATAAAAATAACTTATTCCAATTTCCTACTCACTGGAATAATACAACTCTAATACAATCCTTTCAGTTCACTGAATATCATTCTGTCAGCTTAGTTTTGACTTTTGCTAGTAAGGAATTTAGTCAGAGTTTGTTTCATGTGATCTATTACTTCAGGTGAAACTCTTTGGGTCATCAAAGAATGTGATAATGTAGTAGCAAAACTTAAGTGTTACTTATGCTAAATGACCTGTGACTACTCATAAGTAGTATAAAATTATATCTCATAATATTCCTCGTCATATGCTGAAAATCTAACGACCAAACAGCTTCAAGTGTATACCTCCAATAGACATCCTGAATGGATTCTACGAAGCATAGCACTGAGTACAAATAATCAATGGTCAGTGTCGAAATGCAGACTTAAGCTACTCATATGAATACACGCCACATCCTATACCAATGACTGAAATAACATTTTAAAACTGTTTGAACATTAACTTTGTGACCTGTTTCAATTATATGTATTTAGCTATAGATGAAAAGGACCATCTCCTACCATAATACTGGAAACGTTGGCCAGTTTTAATCGAAGTTATCTTCAAAACACTTCTTGTCTATCAAATTATCGCTGTCATGAATACTGATGTCGGAACTCAGTTTTTGTAATTATGAAGCCATCATCTCTCACAATTCTCAACGTTAGCCACAGTATTATTATTATTATCATTAATATTATTTGCCCCTTGGGTTCCTAATAGAACATGTGGCTACAGTAGCACGTCTCCAATGCGCTCTTCTATCTGAAATCTTTTGAACCTGGCTCCATGACAGCCCACAAGCTCTCATTTCTTCCTCACAAGATCTCCTCCATATCATCTGCGACTCAGACGCCCAACTCACCGCTTCCCACCTGGGTTCCACTCGGAGGCCTGGCCTGACTCGAGGTCCCCAGTCGGCCTTCTCAGCAATTGTCCAGTCCATCTCCACTTCCTTCCACTGCATATTTGTTGAGTGATAGACTCTTGCTTCGTTGGTTCGTTTCCAGCGTTCCTTGTTGCTGATTCTTATTATTCTGGCCATATCAGCTTCAGTATCCAGCCAGTTTAGACAGTTGTTGATGAATGTCTGGAGTTTGTTGGAAATGCCTTTCGTAACGCGCCAAGTCTCTCAACCACATACCAACACTGACTTGACTGACACTGGTGTTGAAAATCAGGATGTTGTTCATGCTTTACGCTGAGTGCAGTGCAGAAGATCTGCACACTGGTTTCAGGTTAATGAACGCCTGTCTTGCTGTCTTTTCCAATCCTGGTTTTGACATCCTCATCTGTGCCTGTGCCGCTGGCTGTAGTTGAAACGATGCTGCCGAAGAGGGTGGGTGAAAGAGGCTACTTCCTTTAAGTTTCTCCCATTGATGATGATTGGAGCTTGTTGTTGTTGTTGTTGTCGTTGCTGTAGTTGTCGGTTGGTCATCTTCATTAACTCTGTCTTTTCTACATTCACTTGAAGTCCCGTCTTCGCTGTCTCGCCTCTTCTGTCAACATGTTGGATTTTGCCTGTACATCTTCAAGTTTGTGCAACAAGACATTAGACACAAGTCATCGTTGGCGAAATCCAAGTCTTCTAGTTTCTTTTCCACGGTCCAGCCAGGGTATCCCTCTCTTCTCACTCCTCACTGTTTTCCGCATGATCCCGTCAACCACAATCAGGAATATCATGGGTGATAGTAGACAGCAGCCTTGTCTTACTTCTGTCTTCACTTCAAAAGCATCACTGAGCTTCCCATTTGGAATTACTTGGCTGGCATGTGGTGTCTTCACATAGTTGTTGAATGAGATTGGCAAAGGTTTGTGGTATTCCATAGTGTTGATCAGTTTCCAAATTACTTCTCAGTCAACGCTGTCGAATGCTTCTTCAAAGTCGATGAAGTTGAGGCAGAGTTGAGTTGACTGCCATTCTATACTCTGTTCTATGATGATTCGAAGCGTTGCAATTTGGTCTGCATATGATTTGTACTTCCTGAATCCAGCCAGTCTGTTGCGGTCGTAGTTTTGAATCCAACGCATCCTTTAGTCTCTCCAAGATGATGCGGCCTAATATTTTGCTTGGAGTGGACAGGAGCGTGATTCCGCACAGGAGTAAGGTAAGACTGAAAGCGATTTAAGGTCTTCCAGAACAGAATATGTGGTACGAATCAATAAATTCAGTGACAATTAAACTCCCTCTCTGACACTAGAAAGGTTGTGTGCATCTGAGTGAAGACCACCGATTGCGTAACTGGAAAAGTTGGGCAATAATGTAGATGTATGTTTTTTCCACATATACCCAACTTTGATTACCTTGGTTTTCTTTTCTTCTAACTTGTTTTTCCTGCCCCCAAATAATTCTTTAGCATTTTAATACTT